CTACGAACAAGATTGGACGATCCTATGAAAGCGGAGAACAAAGAATACTGCAGGAGCATCCAGTTGCATTCATCGCACATCTATGGTCAAGACAAGTAGGATAACGGACAGAAGAATAATGAACGACAGGATGACCTATTCGCTGTATCAAGCGTTGAGGGTAATTTAAAAGTTTTTCCGTCGTTCTATTTTAATTCATAAGATAAAGTCAATCATGGCTTTCAATGACGTTTTACTTTAATAGTGCCATAATGTCCAATATTTCGACAAATCGCAGACTGTCCTTTTGTAATGAACTAAAAAATCACACAACTGTACATAATTAATAGTGCTCATGGCAATGTAGCAGTAGTACTCCGGTACTGTGAAACTGACCTGAAGAAAATTGACATCGATTAGTCCAAATATCGAGCTTGAACACTTTTAAATGTCTCTGAAGTGAAACTACGTTGAAAGTAATGACGATACCAATATTATTATAAACAAGTATACAAATCAATGCTTTCTTGAAGAAAATCAGCTAACGAAAAGTTTATTTCTTGAGTCAGTTAAAGCAAAACTTCTAAGCATTTGTGTGATCAACTATGACAGTATACAAAACAAGATTCCTTAGAATAGTTTGCATGCGTTAATGATCAGAATCATAATACATAAATTGACAGGACGGCCATGCTTTTTACAACTTCAGGCTTTTAATGTTGTGAATCTCTAGTATGCCATTTGCTGAATCCTGAATCACCCCTTTGCTTCCGCATAAACATACTTCTCATATATCCTGATCTCGTCAAATGAAACGTCTGTATACGTTTTAGAGGAGAGTGTTGCAAGGAATGAAAAGGATCCGTAGCAATTTAATTTTTTATAGTTACGAAAAAACTGGCGAAGTATAGCCACTTCACTAACATCACGCTGTTCAACTCCAACTCCCCACCTGAATCCAGTAAAGAACGGCCTGAAACAACGGACGCAATCTCCCACAAACTCCACTGCCTGTTTGCAAGTGATGTTCAGGAGGATGAATTGGAAAGGTTGGATTTACGTCAATGCTGAACAGCTCAGCTGCGTATGATTCGCAGAAGGCGTGGTGTTATTTGCGGAAAACGTCAGTCAGCTGCAAGACATTCTGCTAGAGCTCGACAAAAAACATGCTGAAGTCGGGTTACGAATCAGTCGCATATACCACGATTTGATGCCCTGCCAAAGGTCCAGATATCATTAAACGGCGAAAAGGTCGAAGATGTCGATGAATAGATTTACCTGGGCCAAGTGATCACATGCGACATGATAAGGCTCGAGAGATTCATCGGAAAAAATGGCTGGTTGATGCGTTCCATTCCATCGAAGGCATCCTCGTCGGCAACATCAGGAAAGAAACCCTCGCCCAACTTTTCAAATCTGTCGTTCTGCCGGCAATGTTGTATGGCTGTGAGACGTTTTCAGTCAGTGAAGCCGAAGAGTGCCAGCTATTTGTTACCGAGCTATGGAGAGTATAATGCTAAGAATCCCGCGTCGCGACCACATCCCAGTACGGTAATCAGACAACGGACGGGAGTGAAGAACGTTGTTGTCAAAAGTAGAAGGGAGAACCTGCGACAGAACAGCGTGTGGCTCGGTTATCCGACAGCAGATGATCCGTGATGATCGTCGACTGATATCGACTGATACACTCGCGGGTGGACTAGGCCACTTGTTCGCGTGCTACGACGATGGGAAGATTATGTTAAGAGCAAGAAAGGCTGCACATGGAGGAAGAAGGCTCAAAAGCGAGGGAAATGGCGCGATTCGTCGGTCAAAGTGATCCACGTAAAATGATAAAAAAACTGACGCCTGATCTAGAAGATTATTTGCTTATAATTTAAGAGTGTTGACATTGGATCAACGTTTCAATCCTGTATGAATCGTGACAACTCAGTCAATGATAATCTCGCGGACCCATAATCACAGAAAATTACAAGCAAGCAACTCTGCGGTTTTGAAAATAAACAGCGAAGGTCACTCCAACGCTAAGTAGAGCATTATTGCTACAATTGTAGCCAAGCACTATGTTGATGTTGCGTGCCTTTTAGATACTCGTGTTCTGATGACTGAAATTCACCGTATCAACCTGGTTGGGTTAGAAATACACTGTTACGATCTCCATTCAGACTACAGTCTATTTACATATCTAAGAAGTGACATTGTCTCTTGCTCGCAAGGGTGAATCTGCTCTGAGACACAGGTCAAGTCAAGCTTTGCACCTTGGTGATTTCGAGTGCAATCATGAAGATAGGTGGTACATTGAATCAAACGACGAAGGCGAACGACTTGTCGAATGGAGTTCAGTCAAAGACTTAGCATTTATCCTCAAACGTAAACTGCGCGGCATCTTGTGGTCAGCGACCTCACTGTCCAGACCCATGCCGGCTCAGTTCAAAGAGTTTTCAGCCCTGCCATCCACTCGCATTGTGTTAAAATACTTCCCGCTCAGTTAGCATCAGTCGCCATTGTTTCATACTGGCATTCAGATCCAAGCAGATAGCATCATGCAACGACCCGAGTGAAAGCATTCAAAGATCGGTTGGAAAGGCTGTGCAAAAGGACAGCTTCAGCATCGTCATACGAAATTCTAGTGAGTGAACCATACCGCCGTTCCATTGGTACCTTTCTCGAATCATCTACCACCTGCATTCCACGCTGTTACGACGCAGTTTACACTCTTGCCCAACTTCTGAACTCAAATCCATCCTTCAACTCAGTATGAGGAGTCTGATGACGCAAAACTCACCGATAACCTGTTGAATCGCAACATAACAGGCTTTCATGACGAACTGAGAAAACTTATTGTCCCCACAAGGTTTAATGCAGTCGAGACGGAAAC